CTGGCTCATTTATTTAGAGGTGGACAGCTCTTTCCCTGTTGCACTGGGGACAGGTTATTGGATTAACTATAATGAAACAAAGTTTAAAGACTAGTTCCTATATCTTAGCACCATATTTCCTGAAGAGCAAAGCAGTGATGGAGTGATATAGAGGACAGACTATTTCTGTCAGGACAAAGTGTGCGTGCGTGCGTGCGTGCGTGCCTGTGTGTATGTGCTCGAGCATACTCATGCACGTGGAATCTGGGAGTCAGTCTCATTGCTCAGGAGCCCATTGGTCTTAGTTTTTGAGACATCTTCTCTTTCTGAGATCTGGGTTTTTATATTTTAAGTTAGACTGTCTGACCAGCAATCACTAGGGACGGGGCCTACCTGTTTCTGCCTCTTTGCCTCTGGGACTGTAAGAATATATCACCATGCCTGACTTTTGATGTGGGAACAGGAGATAGAACTCAGGTTCACTCCAAATCCTGGATTCAAGTGATCCTTTTGCCCTATCTCCCAATGCAGCTGAACCACAGACTACACAGTGTCTAGCTCTTTCCGACATCCAATTTATGGCCTGCAGCTTGCTATCCTTGGGTTCCACCCTTCACTGGTGCTAGAAGAACCTCAGAGCTGAAATACTTATCTGGGGTCCCACAGCAAAAGTATGAAACAGAGCTCAGACATAGTACTTACTGCTGGGACACCCAAAATTCTGAGTCCCTCCATCTGGTCCTCGCCTCTCTCCCTCTACCCAGTGGTGGGATGGAGACACTTACCACATCTGTGTTGGGAATAGCTGCAGGCACCCAAATGCCTGTGGCATTGCGGCTCTGGTTCTCATACACCTCTTCCAGCACCTGGCTCTTGTTGATGTCTGTGTCCAGGAGGAGCCTGGGCAGCAGTGAGACCCCAAGTTCCCAGAGCTGTATGAACTCCCAAGGGTCATCCTCTGCTGACCAGGAACCCTCATGTGACATCCCACCTCCCTTTACTTAGGCAGAGCCTGGCATGCAGACAGGTGTTGGGCAGGGCTGCTGGTCTTGTGTAGCCCCACTCGCAGGGACGAGCTAGGTGGCTTTGGGGCGCACCTCTTTAAGTTCCCACTAGCCCTCCCAGGTGAGAGGGAGTCACACAGTAGAACATCCCAGGTGATGGGTCAGGACTTGCACCATCCTTACCTTCTCTGAGGCTCCACTATCCAGTCGCCCTGCCAATGCCATCCCAGGGGAGCCTTGAAATCTGTCTTGGGGACAGCCTTGCGTCCCAAGACATCTGAGAAGTTGGGGCAGTTGTGCAGTCCCTGCTGTCCCCACTGGTCTCTCAACTTGGCCTGATTCTCATACTGGGGGACGGGAGTCCCAGTCAGTGTCCATACCTCCTCCACCAACCACCCGGTGGTGGGGATGTTGAAGCGCCTGTTCCCTAACCTTTAGAAATGTAGTAGCCAAGCAAGATAGGTCCATATCCCAACTGTACGTAGGAGACAGAGGCTCAGCAATCACCACTACCCACCACAGCTAGCAGAGGAGCCGGGTGATGCCCAGGTTAAAGCCGTTATCTTTGATGTGACCTGCCTACTCCCTAGTCACTGCTGACCTGAGAAACTTACCCTCCTGTGCTACCTCCAACCCCCATGTCTTTTCTCCTATAACCTCTTCCAATCCCTTCTCTGTCCCTGACTTATGCAGGGCCAGTCAGACACAGCTGTCTCTTGACTAACCTTGGGGAATTGGTTCCAGAATGCCCCTGGGTACCACAATCCACTCTCTAGTCTCTTCATTTTAAAATGGCCTAGCATCTGTGTATAACATGTACTTTAAATCATCTATTGATAACATAAAATACAATTCAATGCTATGTCAACAGTTGTTCTAGTGTATTTTTTCTTTTCTTTTTTTCTGGTTTTTTGAGACAGCATTTCTCTGTGTAGCTTTGGAGACTGTCCTGGAACTCACTCTATAGACCAGGATGGCCTCAAACTCACAGAGATCTGCCTGTCTCTGCCTCCCAAGTGCTGGGATTAAAGGCGTGTGCCACCACCGCCTGGCTCTAGTGTATTCTTAAGGTCATAGTGACAAGGGAAAAGGTGTGTACACGTTTGGTATAGATGTAGCCATCTATACCAAATACTAACTGTATTTTCAAGCCACAGTTGGTTCAGTATATGAATGGAAATACTGTTGAAGGGGGGGAGCTAACTGTATTATGGTATGCTATCAGCACATGCAACTTAAAACATAACAATGTTTTAATGCTTTTTTTCTTTATTGAAATAGCCCTGGCTGCCTAGTACTCTTTATGTAGCCCAGTCCAATCTTGAATTCTCAGCACTTCTCCTGCTTAGGCCTCCCTAAGATTATATGCACGTGTCAACCAACTACAAAAAAATGTTAGAATCTATAACTTAAAAGGCCTGTGTTGTGGAATTCTGTCTTCCAGACTTGACATGGCCATTGCTGTCCTGAAATCAGGTCAGTTGTGACTGCCCACAGGCAGCCTTTGCAAGATGGGACCACCTGTTCCTTCTTTGGAGTACATGAGTAGCTTACAAGGCTCATGGGGCTCCTCTCCTCCCCAACATATAAGCAGTTAACAATTGCTGTGAGAAGACTGCTCCAGTGGTAAAGATGTCCATACATTGCCCATGCTTCTGTAAGTAACCCCAGTTAAACGCATTGGTTCCCCAAGCTGGATGGAACTGTTTCTTTACTCTGGCAGGAGTCACCTATCTGAGGTAGTAAACATTTGTTCACATCTCCCCAGAAAAGGTCACATAATAGCCCAACACACAAACCTTACTGCCCTTCTGCTGGAAGAGTTATTTCCTGGGCCAGCCCTCCTCCAAAGAGCAAATGGCATCCCTTGCTCTCTGCAGAGCCGTTTGCCCAGCTGTTCTCCCTGCATCCCAGGTTGATGTTCTGTAGGCAGAAGCCTCATCTCCTGCTCCTTTTATGCTTTCTGGCCTTTCCCCTCCTCCCATGACCTCCAGTCTGGCCCGAAGGTCTGGCAATGGTTTGCAGGGGTCCTAAGCTGCCTGTTAGCAACAAATGAGACACTATACAATTTGGAGCCCTGATCTGCTCACATGCCTTGAGCAAGCTAGGAGAAAACGCTCAGTAAACTTCCACCAGGAACAGCGTGGCCAGGTACCAAACGGTCACTCAGGCACCATTTTGTTAGCACATGCCTAAGGCCTATGAGCAGGGATACTAAGCTAGCACCGTCCACAACTGCTTTCATCTCAGAGCTGTCTCATGGTCATCAGATGTGGCCAGTGTCCACCTCAAGTTTGGGTCTGAACTATTGTCTCTTCATCGTCTCTTCCTGAACTGCATGTCCGACTGTCAGGCTTGCCCTTCCTGGCTTGGCCCTGACCTGGCTAACCTTCTACCCCACCCCCCAATGCCCTGCATTTCCACTCACCGTCTCGGCATACACCACCATGTTGCCTTGCTGGAGCAGCTTCAGATTCTTGCTGTGTATGACATTGCCAAGCCACATGCAGACCCGGAGGTGAGCTGGGAGTGTGTCCTGTCCTTCTCCTTCTGGGGACTGAGCCAGAGGCAGATCAATCCCATGTGTGCCATGGGGTGATGCTCCCCAGAGAGACAGGGGTATGGGGGAGAGAGAGGGGGAGGGAGGAGCACATATCGCCAGAATGGATCACATCTATCCCCCCCACCCTTTTTTTTAGTTCTGCAAGCAGGACCCTCACATCAAACCATGTGCTGGAGTCAGAGAGTCTACAGTAGTATAAAGCTCCAGGTTGATCACCAGCACTGAGAAGTTACGGAATTCCGCCCTGTTGTTCACAGAGGGAGACAACAGGCACATTGAAAAGAGGCGGGGTGTGCGGCAGCCAGAGGATAACGGTGGCTTTGGTGATACTAGCCAACTATTCACTGCCTGCTGCTTGATCACTGCACACCAGCTCTTTGCTAAGTACCTCAGTCCTCATACCCCACATGGGGGTGTCACCAAGCACTGGACTGAGTAACATCCTGAGGCCAGGCGCAGTCAGGCACTGGACAAAGACAGGAGGAAGGGCTTTGCGTGACGGTAGAAAGGTCAGAGTGCAGGTATGTTCAGAATCAGGGAGGTCCAGAATGGCCTATCTGTTGATGCAGGTAGATAGGGCAGGCCAGGGAGCCTGCATCTTCCCTGAGAGGCTATGGGAGTCATGAAGGGGCTATGAAGACCCCCCCTTCTCTCCAAGGGAGAAGGCCATCATTGGGGGGTTCAGTCAGTCTTATGTCATAGTTTACTTCTGATCTGAGGAGCTGGCTCCAAATCTTTCAGGCACTGAAGATTCTGGAAGTTACCCACTTTTGGCTCACAGGAGAGATGACAAAGTATTAGATCAAGTGGTAGGCATGGGAGCGATGGAGGAGGTGAAGAATTTGAGGAGCATTTACCACGGATGTGGGCTTGGCAAAAGCTCACATGCTGAGCAGTGCAGGCTCTGCCTTCCTCTAGGGACTTTGAGTTCTATTCTGCTTAATGCAGGGCCAGGGAAATAGCACATGGGTCATGTCCTCAAGGAGGCCCAGGGGGGTTCTCTCTGGGAATTTGGGAACCCCATCCTTCCCAAAAGACTACCCTACTTTCCTTACCTGTAAGAGGAGGTTCTGAATCTTCCCACAGAACTTGCCCGAGCTCAGGGGTCCTTCTGGGGAGAACAGGACAGTGTGGGCAGGTACCCGAGCATAGGCCACTCGCTGCTGCTTGGACATCAGCCAGATCATCACATCAGGAAGGCTCTCCTGGGGCTGTCAGGGTGGAAGAGCATCAGGACCGTCTTGGGCAGCTCCAAGCCTCACTGTCCAGCCAGTGCGTCCAGTGCCCACCTCAGGGATCACAGAGTTGAGACGGTGCAACCAGTCCTCAGCTGTGACCACCATGTTCCTTGGCTTGGCCCCCTTGGCCTTCCATGCTAGTTGTTGCAGAAGATAGTTGCGAAGCTGCCATTTATTCTTGTCCAAGTTGTTAGCTTTTGGCTGATCATCCATACAAGGCAGAGGGCGCCTGTGGCCAGGACAAGTTAATAGGGAGGGTATGTCTATTTCTGGTTCTATTGCAGGCCAATGACCCCTTCCTAGCCTGGACACTCTATCCCACCCATGGAGAGCCTGACATGGAGAGAGCTTGCTGTGGTGCCTGACGCAGGCTCTCACCCAGCCCTTTCTCATCCTTGAAGCCCTGCAGTGTGCTAAGTTGGTTCCCAAAGACCTCTTGTGAGTAGATGTTTTCCAGGGAAGAGGCTAGCCAAAACATGGTGGGGGACAAGGAGATGCTTTCCCATGAGCTTGAAACAGGCACTCTGGATGGGAAGCAATGGCAAGAGATGTGGAGTGAGAATAGCGTGGGCTGGTCTAGGTAATGAAGAGCTGCCCACATGCTACAGGTGTTGAGTGTGGACATGGAGCAGCGAAGCCTGTGCTGAACTGGAGTTCAGGGCTGTTCCACATGGGCAGGAAATGCAGTTGTGTGTAGGTTCAAGCAGGAAGAGGTTTGAGCAGTGTTCCTGTGGGGAAGGGGTCCTTGGGTGCTACCCAGAGCCTCCAGTTTCTCTTTTAATTCTTCCTTAGCTCCTCCCAAGGCCAGCCCCAGCCAGGGTACTCAGTCCCTACCGGCAATCCTCTATCAGATCCTTTAGCAGTTTCTCCCACTGTTGGAGTAGAGCTGGATCCTTTGGATTCCGTATGGACTTCAGTATGTCCAGGTTGGTTTTCTGTCCATTGAGAGAAAGGGAGAGAGCTAGCCTCAGTCTGGAGCTCTCCTGGGAGAGTCTTGAGGGCTGGCAGGCCCTAGAGACATTTAAGGAGTAATCTGGTGTAAATTTTAAACTGCCACATGCCCTAGTCCTTTCTTCCTTACTTCCTGTACCCAGCAGAGAAAATGGATGGCAGGGAATGGAGACGTGCAGAAGCCCATCTGAGGACATGAAGTCATGACTAGAGTAGAGCTGCTGTGATAAAACATCTTCTGAGATCCGTGTTCCTTGACAAGAACCCAAGACTGTGTGATGGGACCCTTCCCAGCCTCTCTGATTTCCATGATACCTTTATGGCCCTGGTTCCTCTCATGGCTTATAAAACCGGCATATCACTGTGACTTTATGCATATTATTCCCTTTGTGCTTTCATCCCCCGAAACTGCCTATAAGTTTTTCAACCCCCACCCCACCCCCGTCACCTCCCGACTGCTCTTTTCTTTCCTCCCCATCCCCATCTCTCTGATCCTAAATCTGACCCCTGTATTTCCACGGTAACCCTAGCGGCTCTGCACAGTAACTGTACATCTCTGACCTCTTCAGACAGTGAGGGCACGTGTGTGCTTATTGTCTTTGTGACTTTAGTGCCCAGTGCTGTAGCTGACATAGTTCTCAATGATGTGGGGTCCCAGTATCATGTTGTGTGAAAGTACGAGTATTGTAATGTACATTCCTAAGCCCCCACCCACCCCAGCTCCCTCCTGCACACTCACCAGGTGATCCCGGGTAATGTGGAGGAGGTTGAGACAATTCATTCGGAAGCTGACATCCTCCCAGTTGGAGGTCACAGCCACCACAGGCTTCATGTCGTACCAGGGCACATAATGGTAGATAGTTCCTAAGACACAGAGATATGGGGGGGCATATTTGAGGGACCATACCTAGACAGTCCTAATCACTGTATCCTCCTAAAGAATTGCCCCTGGGACACCTTGGTTCTCAAGAGTCTGCTAACCATGCCAAGTGGGCCATCCCAGTCGGAGCCCAGAATGGGTACTTGGTGAACACAGCTGGTTCCTATTGGGCATATATTGTGTTCCATGTGTCAGGTGGCTTTTCAAGTAGGAAACCCAGGTGGGTGCTAGGAACTGAACTCAGGTCCTGTGGAAGAGCAGTGAGACTCATTTCCCTTACAGGGTATTTTTTTCTGCAATACCCTGCTGTGTCGGCCTCTAAGGAACAAAACCACAAATGCCCCCAAATGCTTAAGCAGCAGAAAACTTGTGGGGTCAACGCTCAGATCTTGGAAAAGTTCTGCTTCTTCTTTGGTAACTTCAGGCATAGGAGTAGGACAGAAAGCTGGGCACTATTCAATGTGGGTAGTCTAAAAGACACACCATATTGTAGTGATATATTATTTATGATTTATTAAAGCTTGACTAAGGATTCAGAAAAGCAAAGTCAGCCACAAGCCTTTAGAAGCCAGGCACACACCTTGAATCCCAGCAGTCAGAAGCTAAGAGGTGGTGGTACACACCTGTAATCCTAGGACTCAGGATTAAGAGGGAGATGAATCTACACAAGAGTGAATCCATCTAAAAGAGAATTATAGCTCACACCTTTAATCCCAACATTAGGGAAGTATATAAGACAGAAGCAATGTCTCAGAGAGGCATTCATTCCCCAGCCACGCTGAGGAGAGGTTACAGTCTGAAGCTTGGTGAGAGCTCAAGGAGACAGGACCAGCTCATTCCACCTGAGGTGGAGGTAAGAAGCTAATGGACAGCTGCTTTGCTTTTCTCATCTTCCGCTTGAGGCTTGAACACCAATATCAGTCTCTGGGTCTTTTATTTGTCTGTGTGTGTGTGTGTGTGTGTGTGTGTGTGTGTGTGTTACATACATTATGTCCTGTGACAGGACATGTTGAGGTCCTAACCCTGCTGCCTCAATATACCATCTGACGTGGACACAGACTCACTGACGATGTCACTAGTCAAGACCAAGTCGTTCATGGTGGAGTGACTGTCCAGCACCCTAGGGAGGAACTGATAGAAGCCAAAGGCGAAGAGTGGGATGACTCGTCTGCTAGATGAAGAATACCAAGGTTTGCCCTTAGCGCTCTCCCAGGAAATCGACCTTCCCTCCATCACTTCTACCTTCCACCTTCCTCTTGTCTTACTTTAAACTTTTTAAATAAAATGTTTAGTTTTGTCACCTGTGCATGCATGATTTGTGCATGTGAGTGCAGGAATGTACATGCCATAGCATGTGTGTGAAGGGCAGAGCACAGCTTCAGGAGTCAGTTCTCTCCTTCCACCATGTAAGGTCTGGGGCCCAATCACTTTTGCCCACTGAGCCATCTCGTGACCCCAGAGTTGTGTTAAGTCACTCAGGGCAAGGCAATGGCAGACCAGGCATTAAAAGCGGACACTCAAAACCTCTGCTCTCAGGGCCAGGGTGAATGAGAGATGGCCCACTACCCAGAAGGGGAAAGCGAGGACGCCTGCTTGTCTCCACTGCGGCTCTAGGTGGAGAGAAGAAAAGCTTCCCCATGATGTAAGTGCAGCACAGTGTCTTGAGGCACGCCACCAGAGAAGTGTGAGAGACGCCAAGCAAGCAACTCAGCAGTGGCCCTCAGCAGTGGCCCTCAGCAGTGGCCCTCAGCAGTGGCCCAGGTCCCTCGAGTAAGGGACAGGCAAATCTCCCTAGAGAACGAAATCTGAGGCACACCTCAAAGAATTCCCACAACATAGAGAGAAAATTAGCAATTCAGAAACAACGCACATGTTCCCTAGCCCAGCAATTTCAGCTCCACTGTAAATACCCTACAGGGAGGCAAATACACCGTTACTAAGAGGTGTGTAGGGAGGGCTTGTAGCAACTCTAAATGGAATGGCCAGAAGCTGGAAAAGGTTAAAGTGCTCTTTACAGTAGAAGGCATAAACAAATTATGGTAGTCATCCATCTCTTGGGACTGTTGAGGAACTGGCTTGAGGACACCCTGTTATCAAAATCCACAGACAATCAATTCCCTTGTATAAGACAGGCAGCATTTGCATAGAATCTACCCACATGTCTCCTATACTCACATAATCTCTAGAGTACTTATTACCCCAAGCAAGGCAGATTCTTTGCAAATAGCTGTTACTCTGCTATACTGTATTCTTTTTAAAAATTTTAATTATTTTATTTTATGTGCATTGATGTGAGGGTGTCAGATACCCTGGAACTGGAGTTATAGACATTTTGAGTGGTCACATGAGTGCTGGGAATTGAACCTGGATTCTCTTGAAAAGCAGCCAGTGCTCTTAATCGCTGAGCCATCACTCCAGCCCCCTATATTGTAATTTTTTTTTTTGGTTTTTCGAGACAGGGTTTCTCTGTATTGTTTTAGAGCCTGTCCTGGAACGCACTTGGTAGACCAGGCTGGTCTCGAACTCACAGTGATCCACCTGTCTCTGCTTCCCGAGTGCTGGGATTAAAGGCGTGTGCCACCAACGCCCGGCCTATATTGTAATCTTTAGGGGACGACAACAACAAGAAAAATCAGGACATGTTTGGCATAGATGCATATTTGTTGATTAGTGTATGAATACATGTGAACAAATGTGTGTGTGTGTGTGTGCGCGCGTGCACGCGCGCGTGCGTGCTTATGCAAGTGTGGTCTATGTAATGCATGTTGAGTGTGATGCTTGTGCACAGCATGGCAAGTTCACAAAAGAGTGTCAAATATAAGTGCCAAATGCCTTCTACTCCTCCTTGCTCTTTTGAGTCAGGGATTCTCCTAAAACCTGAAGCTTGTTTTCTTTTAATTATTTTATGATATGTGTATGGGTGTTTGTCTATCATGTGTGTGTGTATTATCACTGCAGAGGCCAGAAGACAGCATTCCATCCTCTGAAATAGAAGTTACAGACAGTTGTGAGTAACCATGTGGATGCTAGGAACCTAACCCAGGTCTTCTGGAAGAGCATCCAATGCTCTTAACCATTGAGCCATTTCTCCAGCCTCCTGGAGCTTAGTTTACTTGACTAGGTGACAACCAACTAGGCCCAGTGATCCTCCTGTCCCCACCCCAACTTAGTGATGTGGTCGCAGCTTTTTATATGGGAACTATAATATTAGTTCCCATCCTCATCCTAGCACAGCAAGCCCTCTTAAACATTAAACCATCTTTTCAGCTCTTTTTTTAATTTTTCAATTATGTTTTGGGCATATTTCTTGTGTATAACATCATTAGGTTTTTTTCCCCCTCACTTGTTTGTTTATTTATTTGGAGACAGGATCTCCCTACACAGCCCTGGCTGTCCTGGAACTCTCTATGTAGACGAGGCTGGCCTCAGACTAGCAATTCACCTGACTCTGCTTACGGAGTGCTGGGACTACCCTAGCTTGTTTTAATATATTTGATGCCTTGTTAGTTAACCCTGTGGTTATCCATAACTACACATGGCTGACTATATTCACACAATGGAATACTAACTACATGGAAATGAGAGAAGTAAGGTACAAGTATATCCAAGAATATGTTGATCTGTGGACACATTTCACAAACTGATAATTGAAGAAGGCAGAGATAAAAAATAGGGACACACATGATATGTGTTCTTTAATACATATCATGAGCTGAAGATGAGATGAAGGGTAGGGTGGGGGTAAGAGGCACAGGGCCCTAGGATGTGGCTATTCTACTTCATGATCTGAGTGTTATTATTTGGTGAATCTGCAGCAGGGTTAGTCACTGAACTCGTGCTTTGGTTTGCGTGGGTTTTCCATGAGTATGCTATCCTTCAATCAAACTTTTACTTACGAAATTGAAAAATCGTGATGCCCTGGTGAGCACCATGCTGGAGGAATCCACCAGCTGTTGTTTAATCCCAGGGCCTGTGGTTGGTTTTGAACTTATACTGACGATGAATACTTATTTATTGTAAAAAATATAATTTATCATTTGTATCACGCACACCAAGGAAAACAGTGAGGACAAAAATGACAAATGAGCATTGCAATACCGTGTGTGGAGTGGCAGAAAGAGCCACAGAGAAGAATAAGGTGGGGGAGGTGAGGCACTGCCAAGCAATTTAAAACAGAGTGGCTACCGTAAGGCCTTTCTGAAAGGACCTAAAAGTCGCTAGATGTGGCCTAGAGAGATCCCAACATAAAAAATATGGACAAGAGATTTAAAAATAGGGGCCAGAGTAGGTGTAGACAGTGTACAAGGACAGAATACTCCCTGAAGGAAACAGAAAATTAAAAGGGACAATTCGCAAAGAGAAACATCTTGAAATGCTCTGGGATTGCTGGAAGACACTGGTTTCCAACTCAGGTGCTGAATGACGGGGCTATATAATAAATACAAAGAGACCTGTGACTGATGCCCTCACTGATGCTCTGAGTGGGGGGCCT